CCTTTAATTACCGAGGTTCTAATACCCTATAATGCTAGCGTCGCACTATCGCCTAAAAGGATTGTTACAGAGTTGTTCTTAAAAACGCGCCGTATATGGGCCGCGTCACTTTCGTCTGCAAGGGACCCCGCTAATGAGACTGCGGAAGACGCAAATGCCACCTACCGCAGGCCACCGATTTCTCTGCAGACTCGGAACTCATGGCGATGCGGTTGCTGTTCTTACGGTAATTGGTATTCATTATGGGCATCCTACAAGAAAGAGTTCAACGTAGAAATAAGAAGAAGCGGCTCCTGCAAACCTTAGGTAGGTCCACTGAGGCTGACTTAGCCAGACTGGGCAACGTAGCCATCTCTCGTGTTATTCCTTTGTCGCCCTGTATCATTATTTCATCACGTCGTGCAACCTCTGGACCCCATCCTGCATGCATCTCTCCAATCCGAGGCCTTTTGATCTGTGAGATATGCATGCTCTATTGCGACTGCCGATGACCCTACGGCAGGTCGCCTCGGACCTGCTGTTGACGCGAACTTTAACCGCCGACGACGCAAGGGGATTATTAGCAGACGACAGCGCCACTCAACATTTGAGAACCAGACCGGTCTCGCGTCAAGGACGTCGACTCTGGAAATTGATGGGTATCATCGGTCTCCTCATTTCTTGCGGAGGGCTGCTCTTTTCGAAGCGGCCGGCTGCAAATTACAATCCTTCAACACCACACGAAGACCACATTCTGCACGTCTTACTCCCAACACGCTTGCATCAATTGGAAACATGCAGGACCATACTCAGTGGAGCGGCGCTCAACTATCCGAACCCATGGGCTATCAGCTGGATTGCAGATGTCGATGCCGATGGCAAGGACATTGGTGGCGACTTGGCAAAGCTCGAAAGTATATTGGCATTTCTAGAGTATCAGGAGCCAGTGCGGAATGATGATATTGTGATTGTGCTCGCAAATCCAAGGTCTTGGTTTCAAGTACGGCCGGAGGTACTCTTGAAACGGTATAGAAGCATCCAACAAGAACGCCAACGGCAAAGTCTGCGTCAGAACGCAAGTCGCGAACTATACGAGCTGCAGCATGTCAAGTCGAAGATCGTCCTCTCTGTGGAAAAGAAGTGCTTGTCAAAGGAGGGTGCTGATTGTTTGCCGGTTCAAGCAGAAGACAACACACCGCGCTTCGTCAGTCATAATTTCGTTCTAGGACCAGTACAAGAGCTACGACTACTTTATAGGTAGGGGAATGATCCAATGTATAACCATGTTGAATCCGCACTGACAGTTCTGCAGGGATGCAGTAGCGGAGGCTAAAGGACTGGAAGATCACCATTCCTCATTCGATGAACATAGCGTCTTCGCTAGGTTGTACAGTACCTTGCAACACGTCAACAGCGCCCCAAGAGACTACACTCTTGGATTAGACCTTGTTGATCGACTGAGCTTCGCAGCAAATAGCGACGTAAGCTCTGCGAAACGGCTCACAGCATCTTCCGAGGCAGACGTGAGCTTTTGGGCCCACAAAAGCACTTCAGGACTTACGGAAGATATTTCAAAGTCCGAGCCTCCTTTCCGGTCCTCCTTTGGTATCTCGCGAAAAGGATGGCGAGACGTTCCGCTCTTGACACCGAAGAAGGCCGCTACGGTTCCCGCCATCGTACAACATTCGTCTGCGTACGATCCCAATGCATCGCAAGCGTGGTTTGAACATCTCTGGTTTCATCCGCATGGACGGAAACTAGTACAATCGTACCTAGCGAGTCCAAGGACTCCATTGTCCAGCTTTGTCGACTCGGACGGGATTCAGCAACGATTCTACGGCTCTCATACCGGAGGAGTTGCGGCCGTAGCGGCCGACAGCGAGTTGCATCCATGGAGCGAAATCTGCGAGGCAAAGGATTTTACCAGCAGCTTGTTCGCGGATGGTACTGCCACATGAAAGATCACCGATGGTCGGAGGTCGTGCAATGGACTTGACAGTCTATAGCGCTTGGTCAATCGCGGGAAGTCAAGACAATKCGGTGATTTTCGCTTGCTACGCCGCTCAAAGCCCGTGGTATATGAGGCACGGGGGCCCAAAGATTTCCTGGAGCATGCCCTCGAATAGGTTGCTCTCTTGCACTGGCTTTTTGACGCCCGTCACGCTTCCCAAAAGGATGTCTCGGCCTACTGCGGAAGTCTCCGGCTTACGATACGCTATGAACGGGATAAATCATCGACGCCTGATGGTACAACAGCATGTATCGAGAATGCGATGCGGTACTTGGCTGATGATTGAAGGATATCAAAATCATCACGACTTGTTGTTGACTTTACCATTCAGATCTGACGCCATGATTCCATGTTGGAATTCAGTATCCTGCTGGTCGGTGTGCTCGAAGGGATCGAATGGATCAAATGCTGTCACCATTACAACCAGAGGCCAATCGCAAGAGCAGATGTCAAGTTGGGCTCACTAAATTATGTCAAGCATCGCGGTAGAGAAGGTCTAGCTTGGTAGCATCCCAGCGTTTTGACTCTGGACGAGCATGCCACTTTCGCTGCCTCCTCCGTTGTCGGCCACTCACCAGGCTTTATGAACTTCCTCTCCTCCACTCGCTACAAACTTGCATCACGAAGAACAAGCCACTCCGCCGGCATGTCTGACACAGTTGAACACCGAGTGCTCAGAATACCCGCAGTTCTCGAGCTAATACTGCTAAGCCTCGATACCAAGACTCTCTTGCACGCGCGGCGAGTTGACWGAATTTTCCAGGAGGTCATTACGGGCTCATTCAAGCTTCAACGCAGACTCTTCCTCGCACAAGATCTCCGGTCTACCACTAAGCTGATGATGACTGGGATGCCATGCGGTGGACCCGTGGCTAACCATGCTCTTTTATCGACTGATGCTGCCGGCGTGCTTCGGATCGTCTATTGCTATGAGACGGTAGAGTGCCCGGGTTATCAATTTTGCAATTTCTTGCCACTGCATCTTGGAGATGAGCACTGGCTACATGGAAGTTGGCGGCATATGTTTGCGGATCAAAGGAGCTATCAAGTTGAAATGGTGAAGCTGACCTACAGGGACAAATCCGTTACGGTACAGGGCACAAGCACCAGCGGTTGGAAGGGCCAGAATCTGACCATAGGTCAGATGTTTGACTGGGCAATGGAAAACGCTGGCGACGACGTTCGAAAGGCTATCTTGGGATCCCGAGCAATTCGATTTTCCTGAATCAAAACGGGTCCCGCATGCGAACCATACGCTTGGACGAATCGGAGACTAGAGGGAAGTCTTGCAGCGATTCGCGCTGTGAAATACAGTACGATTACACCATCCCAGAATGGAGGTATTCCCCCGATAATTTGCAAGGGGTGGTCGAGAAGGCGAGCGACGTTGAGACCATCACTGCGGAAAGAATTGTCGATGGATCCGTCAGCAGCGCACCTCCCTTTTCAGCCGCCGGGGAGCGTCGGCTATCCTGAGGATGGATCCTTCACACCAAGACCGCCAAGACTTAGCGATCCTGCGTCGCATGATGGAAGTAGGGCTCGCAGAAAGTGTCTCGTGCGTCCTGATGATGGGATCGCGAGTCCTCACATGTTCAGAGACGAACATCAGCACTCAATGCCATCACGATGGTGAAATTCTATGACTCGATATCCAAAGACCACCAAGAATGGGCTCTACGGCAAGATCTCTTCTTCATTGCCACGGCTCCTCTAGTAGGCAGGCATATCAACCTCTCGCCGAAAGGACAGCCCTCCTCGACCCTGACAATCCTGGACGGCAATCATGTGGGCTATTTGGACGCGACAGGGTCCGGGATCGAGACTGTGAGCCRTATATGTAAGTAGACCGAGGAGCCCAAGGCAGCCGATCGAGAAGGCATAGCCTCAGATGTAGCTCGGTCTGTCCGACAAGGCATGGTTTGCTGTCCAAAAAGAAAAGGATACCCACATTCGGTTGCACCCACTACTACATGAGCCTCAGAGAAATGGCAAGGAAATTATCATGGAGCTCAGACACTTTGTTCCAGATGAAATCTTTTGACTTAGACTAACGCCTTGCCTTCTGAATCAGATGAGAACCGAAGGGCTACGATAATGTTCTGCAGCTTTGCATCATCTCCTCGTATCATGCGATGGTTCTGCCACGGGAGAGTCATAGAAGTCGACCATCCTGGATACTCCTCCTGGCTGGCAAAGCTGGGCAAGAAAGAATACCCATCTATGAGAGCGATCATCTTGTTCGAGGTGTTCAAAGGTGAGCCTGGCTTCTGGAAGACCATCAATGATAAGGCGATCATGTTGATTCTCCGTGTCTAGTCCAAACTTCTTGTGGATTCGCCGTTCCACTGCTTTCTCAGCGTATGAATCCTGGCGGACATGACGAAGGCCCTCGGGGATGCTTCATCCAACGTAAGACTCTCGAGAACTTTGCTACGAAGAGTATGGGCTACCCTGTGGAGATGAATGCCTATAGGGTGAAGATGAACTCAAGGAGTCTTGATGGATGTCCTGGATTGCGGGTTGCCAGGAAGAATGGTGGGGAATATCTGCTGCTGCAAGATGTGAGGTACGTTGATCTGGGGTGTTTGAGTCATCACGCTGCTCAAACGCGAGACGCCGTCGTTTGTTGACGGTGGGAATACGCTCACAAGACGAGCCGGCGTTCACAAAACTTGCAGCACGGAACAGGACAACATGCTGATGCGATTGACCATACAGACATTGGCTTAGGACGATTCTATGTCAATGGCAGGCTATGGTGCTTGGTGCTGTACTAGCCATTGTCCTAGTCGAAGTGCTTCCAGCCATGATCAAAATGTCCAACCTAGCGACATCAAACTTCGCGAGTCGCTACTACAGCCTCGAAGATATTGTAGGCTAAAAGAATACACAGACTCCACACACTCACCCAGTCACGTGCAGATTCTTAAAAGATCATCCTCGGGTTCTCCGCATAGGTCTCCGCTTTTGACTTCCAAACATGCATCCAGCTTACCGAACATGACTTAAATTGTTCCTCAAGAGTGAGTCTCCATCTTACAATGTCGAGAGAGGTTCCTTGTTTGGGTAGTCCTCTTGAGTGCTCAATCATGGCGGCAGATCCGACCCGACCAATCCGCATTGCAGGTAATGCATTACCTTGATCAAGGTCAGTTGCTCGAGGTGCTAATAAAGCTTTGTAGGCGTCTCCGGTTCTGCTTCTGACCGACGCCATGCAATGGCAATGCTAGCAGCAAATCATCCAAACGACCCTATAGATGTTATCATCGGAGACTGGATGTCGGAAGCTAATATGAGTACATATACTCAAGACCTCCAAGAACACCACAACCACTAACAACACCTAATAGCGGGCAGGGCGGTCATGAAGACGGATGGTCAAGGTGATGCCTATGAACCAACCTTTCTTGAATCTCTCGAACCCGCTCTCCACGATATCGCGAAGCACGGGATCAAAGTCGCAGTCAATGCCGGCGCTTCAGACACCCACCTCCTGCACAAAGTCGTTACTGAAATGGTCGAATCGAAAGGATTGAAACTCAAAGTCGCTTGGATCAGCGGCGATGAAGTCTTTCCAGCCATTCAAGAGGCCCTCAAAGAAGGCAAGACCAAATTCGAGAATATTTCCACTGGCGAGTTCCTGGCGGATTGGAAGTTCGAGYCTTTATATGCACAGGCCTACCTCGGCGGCCTAGGAATTGCAGCTGCGCTTGCCAAAGGAGCAGACATAGTGGTCTGCGGCCGCGTGTCGGATGCGAGTCCTGTCATAGGTGCTGCGTACTGGTGGCATGGCTGGAGTCGAGACCAACTTGATGAGCTCGCGAACGCCTTCGTCGCGGGTCATTTGATTGAATGTTCGAACTATGTTTGTGGTGGTAACTTTAGTGGTTTCAAATCGTTGGAGACCAAGCGCTGGCATGATATCGGATATCCCATTGCGGAAATCTCCCGATCTGGACAGGTCGTTATTACGAAGAATCTTGGTTCAGGAGGAGAGGTTAGTACGCAGACGTGCTCTTCTCAGCTGCTGTACGAGATCCAGGGCCCGTGGTATTACAATTCTGATGTTACGGCATTGTTGGACGAGCTTTACTTTGAGCAGATTGGGACGAATCGCGTTGCACTACGCGGAGTGAAATCTGACTTTCCACCACCGACTACTAAAGTCGGCATCACTGCCAAGGGAGGCTATCAAGCGGAGTCACATTATTTTCTTTGCGGCCTGGACATTGAGGAAAAAGCACGAATGCTAGAGGCTCAAATTCGACATCTCCTGAAGCCTCACTCGGACAAGTTCTCCAAGTTGGAATTCACGCTCAACGGGACTGCTGCCGAGAATGCGAGGAATCAGAATGCCGCAACGGTGGACTTTAGAATCTTTGTGCAAGCTGCCGAGGAGCAAGATATTGCACCTACGAAGTTCATGAGAAATACAATCGATGGCATCATGCAGGGGTATCCGGGTGCAACTATTCATATGGATATGCGGCAAGGCTTTCCCAAGCCGATTTTTGAGTACTATGTTACTCTGCTGCCCCAGTCTGCCATTTCACACAGGGTACACTTGTGGGACGGACAAACACTGGACATCTCTCCGCCTCAGCAGACCAAGGTCTATCCTGCTCAACAGCCCAGCGAACCAGAAGCTACGAATCTCCGAGTCACGAATTTTGKCAAGACTGTCAGAGGGCCGCTTGGATGGATCGTTCATGCACGATCTGGAGACAAAGGCTCGAATGCGAATGTTGGATTCTGGGTACGACATCGGGATGAGTGGGAGTGGCTCCGCTCGCTGTTGTCTGTCGATATGATCAAGTCGTTGTTGGCGGATGAGTATAAGACTGGGAAGAAGATTGTGAGTACTTTCGTTTCCACTCTACGTGTCGGTGCTGATTGAGTTTGATAGGATCGTTTTGAACTACGCAACATGTTTGCGGTACACTTCCTACTGCACGACCATCTTGACAGAGGCGTAAGCTGTTCTTCGTCGTATGATTTCTTGGCGAAGAATGTCGCGGAGTATCTGAGATCCAAACATGTAGATTTGCCCATCAAGTTTTTGAACAGGGGCAAGCTATGAGATGAGGTACAGGAGAAGGTCTTTTAGCTCCAAGAATCCATAGATGGATGTATTGAACAAACTACGTCAGCCTGAACGTGAGGAACGTGACATTAAATCTCCACCCTTCCGCCACCATTCATTCACTCACCACGACCCAAAACACATCACCCGCACTTCCCACCACAAGCAGAACCGACCATGTCCACCCACGCCATCCAAGCCCGTTCAATCTACCGCCGAATTCTCCGCGAACTACCCGCACGCTCCCCCTCCCTCCTAGCAAATCCCTCACCCATGCAAAAACACATCCGAGCCGACTTCACCACTCCTCCAACCGACTCACCCACACAATCTCTCCAACACCAAAATTCCAGGCCGTTGGAATGGAGATTGAAGGAGGCGGAGCAATATGTCAAGTATTTGGCTGGTCAGCGCATGTATACGACGTTGGTGGAGAGATATAATCCGGGGATGAATATGACGGATGAGGATCGGGTGCGGTTGACGGCGAGGAGGGTTGGGATGGATTTGCCGTTGGATATGCGGGGGAATGGTAGGGAGGATCAATGATGAGGATGACTTGTGTTGTTGTTGTCCGGAGGAGGTGGAGATGGGAAATGGTTGGCGATATTTTAGTGGCAATCATTATCATACCTCGGACCAGCGCATGTTATGGAAGTCGGGATCATATTGACATCGATGTTGAACGATAGGCCTGCTTTATCTGCAGATGCTATCTGCGGGCGATTGACTTGAGAGGAGCTCTTCGACGGCAGTCCGGAACAGGTCTGCAGTGAGGTCTGCAGTTGTGGCCCACAACCAGCATACAATCGACATGCACGCAAGGTGATGACCTTGATCAAAGGCATTGAATCAATCCGCATCTGTCTTGTCAACGTTGTAATCAACGCCAGAGTAAGGCCCTTTACACCGCCATGGGAAAGGAGGCAGCACGATGGCGAACAATATCACCCAGAAGCATTCTGTCTCAACAAACGAGCATCGAATTATGACCTGTATGGCAATGTATATATCGATTAGTTTAGCGATTCGCTTCAWAAGACATCCATTCGCCAGCATCCAGCTCAACCAAGCAAACTCCCCGACTTCGACGACGTAGCCGGCGAACTGATCGAACTCGATTGCCTTTTCTTCAACTTTGGCGACGATACCCTTGGCATGCTGGCCACGCCATTAATACTCATGACCGGAACCACAGTAATGCGATCCTCAATGGCTTCTTGTCGCCGCAAAGCAGCATCCAAGTAGTTTCGAATGAGCTTCTTGACCCGCTTAAGCTCATACCCATGACTACTACCCTCATCGCCGTCTTTCTTCTCAACTTTGCTTGTCAATCTGGAACTGAAGATGCCACCCGGACAAATCTCAACGCCAAAGCCTGATCGAATCGTCAAGCGATATATGGAAATCGATATGAAGCGTGTGCTGGCGATCGCACCGTCATTGGCTGCGTACTTTGATATGAACCACGTGCCTGTGGAGTTGGCGAATTCGGTGTATTTGAGCTCGAGTCTGTCCATACACGCTCGGAGAGTCACTATCAGCCAACGTAGATTTTGACACGTGAAGCCATTCATGCGACTGCGACTCAAGGCGGCGCTCCTCCGTGGGATCGTTTTGAGCTGGAGCAGATCTTGTCTAGATGAGAGCGATAGGCCACATGCTATATTTCCGATTGCGAAAAGAGGGTCAAAGGGCATCGGCCAAGGCGCGGATGGTTCTAAAGCTGAGGCGCTGAGTTGCATGCCGTGGACTTCTTGCCATGTGGTCGACTTTGAGTCGGCATTGGAGAGCGCAATTGCTCTACTCTGGTTCGTTTTGGCGTTGTGTGGACCTTCCACTGGCCATTTGATCAACCCAAGGAGTGTATGCGCGGTATCCCTAGTCATGACATTGCGATTAAGAATAGAGTCTGTGCCATTACAGCCATCTCCTTGCATCATCTCGTCCAATTGCTTTTCGAAGTAGGCTTTGTTGTCGCCACTCCGGCACACGGCTTGCTCCGCTTGTAGTCGTCCGATGATTTGTTGCCGAGTTGATCCAGCGAGATCGGCCTTCATCTGGACTATACCTTGCTCTGCTATGGAGTACGCGATCAGAGCCTCCAGTCTGCGGTCTGACAGGCAGTATATATCACCCATCCAGAACGCGGCGGCACAGTCCGCAACTTCCAGGTGTGCGATATCGAGTACACGTTTGCTGAAAACCAAGGAGAAGTGAAATAAAGCCTGCTCCTGCTTTCCCTTCAAGCTGGCGATGACGCCCATCAGGTGTCGTGTTCGTCTATCGGCGTCTAATTGGCGCGACTCTGGTCGATGCTCGAGGAACTCTTCGAGGTGCAGCTCGGCTTGTGCCAGATCACCGACATTCCAGCAATGTACGATGCGTGCTGTGATGGCCGCCTCCAGATCGAGAGCATTGTCAAATCCAGCGGTTACTCCCTCTTTGCAATCTATTGGTTGTGCCTCTGCGCCCAGAGACTGACACTCACTTTGTACAGAAGCCGAGCAAGGATTCTCTGCATCGTCACCATCGGCACTATCCCAGGTGAAAACTTGGGCCATACGCTTCTGAGGCTCAGCAGAGCCACAACTAAGCGTGCGCCTAGGGTTTCTCCTAGGAATGATAGGAACATCGTCGTCAGGATGTTCATCTGACTCAGACACGCATTCGCTAGTATTATCAGAGGTCTCACTGTCGTATTCTGATGGATCTGCATTGACAATGTGGTACTTTGACTTGGATCCAGTTGATTGCCGTAGCTCTTGTCGGGAAAGTACTTTTGTTGAGGAATTGCCATTCCCCGGAGCAAGCATCTCAGTGTGCGCTTGTGGCCTGCTCAAAATTCCATGTGTGTTGTCTGGCAGCTTCCGCGGTGCATCACGCGCCAGTCTCGAAGTCGCCTCTTCGTCATCGTAGACTGAGTCGACCTTGACAGATGGAGGAGCCATTCCGTGACAGCTCAAGGAAGCAGCGGTGCTGGCTTGCCTCWGATCAGTTGATGAACCATTTCCATCGCACGGGCAACCCGTGTCTGCAGCTCCGATGGGAAGCTGAATTGGTGCTCCCAAGGCAGTCGGGCCATCGTTTCTGAACGGAGAGGTCGTGTCTTGTGTCAGGATCAGGCGAGAAGCAGTCTCAATGTCCTAGAGATTAGTCCTAGTCAGCATATGTCGAATCCAACGTGCGAATTGGGCGAATGTTCCAAAACAGCATGTCGAAGATGTCTCGGAGAAGACGAACAATTGACATTGGGTCGGCCACCGCGAATGGAGCTTTCCAGCTGTCCAAGGCGATGGGCGAAGGCCGGGTGTCTTCCATCCCGCAAGTGGTCTCAAGATGACGACTTATACTCGATGTTGCCGCGCCACTCCGATGTGTGAACTGAGAGCGTCGCAGTTTGCTCGCAGTGCTTGTAGCTCCATCCAATTCACAGCTTGTCCTCAATCCACAGTGCGCGTGCACAGCGATCAACGGATAGTCGTTGGACTCTCTCGCATGAAGCGCAACTTTGTAGGTGTTGAGCAGTCTCTCGCTGATGATTGCGATGCGGATTGTGAATTTGACTTCGGAACTGTTGTAGGCTAGGGGTTGTCGGTCTTGATCGAGTGCGAGGTCTATGGCATTGAGGACCCTTCTACACTCAATCACTACCTCATTCAAGGCAGCAGTCTCGTGTGCGGTCGACTCGTCCTCCCAAAGCTCAGACACCTTGTTGAGCGTGTCGTGTAAGATCTCCAGATGTTTGGAAGCGTTCTCGTATGGACCAGAAAGATCTGAGCCTGCCACATATTAGATCTGTGTACAGCGCGGAGGCCATCACTCACATTGACAATGAAGCTCAAGTGCGAGTGCGCTAACGTCTTCAAGATTGTCAAGCCGCGCTCGCGGCTGCATATTGTGACTTCTTTCTGCGAATCCACTTTCCACTCGCATCGCGGAGGAAGGTATTAGCTCAGGCTCGTCGGTGGGTGAGACTGAGGTGAGCAGATCAGTTGGTTGCACAAGCCCGGGCCCGCCGACGGTGCGATGGTGGCTGTTCTAACATTCCAAGCACGCGTCCAATGAATTGTATGTTGTACGTCGGTGTAACAGGCTTTATGTCGCGATCAGCCCGTCAGACGTGACTATTCAATAGCTACGAGCGTCGATGGCTCACAACTGGATCAATTTTAGGCAGACATTCTGACGAATGCTCTAGAACAGCAATCGATGAAATGGAGATTCTAGAGTACGGCCTCTGCGATTCCATCGTTACACGTTGAACTGATCGCTGCGGTACGTCCTCCAAAATGGACTCGCTGTGTTTCATACTATCCGGATGCGATCCAGACTTCGCAGTGAACGGCAATGTTTCGAGAGGCCGTGTCCAGGTATCCGGAGGGAATGTTTGCGATTGAGTCAGCGTTCATCAGAAGAAGACACGGCTTAGAGTACGGTAGTCTTTGTTCAGCGTTTCCCGTATGAAATTTGTTGATACCTCATCAGACCATGCTGCCGTACGGTTCGTCAGTTATTGGTATGCGTGCTTTGATGAATTCGTTACATGCTATGCCGTCGCGTGCAACAACAGTACCTTCAAGCATCGAGGAAGTCCGCAGCCGTAGCTTTACAAAGCATGACGGGCGCATGATAGAAGGGAGTGATGGATGCTTGCCGGTCCGGCGTCGTGACCGTCGGTTGAGTTGGTAAGCCGTTCCTTCGAGGACCTCTCAAGGACAGTTCCGGAACGAGGCGGTCTTTGCTCTGTATTAGAGCAAATCTGCTCCGAACAAGTCCCGGCCCTTGATATCATAAGAAAGAAGACTACAAGAACTTGGAGAAAGTTTACGGTACTCCCGTCGAAAGGTATGGCCCCTGACTAGAGTACTTTTCTTACAAGCGTGAAGGAAAGCGCATAATGCAATCAGGGAACTGACCAGGCGAGTTCCTGAAGCACACGGATCATTCCACTGCACATATGCTACGATCCCAGTACATCATCGGAGTCCAGCCATGCTAATCTCGCGGCATCAGGGCAGCATGCACAGTGTAAGCGGTACATGGGACGGTCAGCAGAGGAGAATAGAAACATCCACTCGTTCGCAGAAGGCCGAGGGACGTGAGAATGCCGATGGTACCGGAATAGTGTGTACAGGGGGTTTTGGTGTTGTTGTCGTTGTTGTCGCTGTCGCTGTCTTCGCCGACGAGGAAAGAAAGCGACGCGTTGTTTATCCATCGTAAAGTGCAGGCCAAGCCGAACTTTACACACTAGCGCCGCGACGATAAATCTCATCGCGACCTCAATGAACATTTGCGGTCTCCCATTGATAATTCCGGGCAAACTCGCGATCCATGCTGGCGCATAACACTACGACATTGCATCCCCAAAAGCCGGAGCTATGAGATTGTATTCCCAAACGCTGGACTGCCTTGGAGAATCCGACCTGAAATCCAGGAGCTCATCTTGAAAACATGTCTACCGGCAAGGTGTCGCCGGACACGCGCCACGCCAGCATGCGAGCGCCAAAGGTGGGCCACAAGAAATCCAGAAAGGGCTGCCAGACGTGCAAAACACGTCGCGTCAAGTGTGACGAGGCAACGCCAGAATGTGGGATTTGCATTCGTCTCGGCCTGACCTGCGCATATGTCAATGTAGAGCCTGCGCGCTCACGAACCAAGTCCAGGAGTATGGAAGCCAGCACTCAGCCGTCCAGGTCATCTCCGGGAAAGTCAATAGCACACGAGAGCCCGCCCATGGGAAATGGAGACATTGCAGTTTCCACACCGCAGCAACATATAGTGCACATTCAGGAGTCCGCGTTGGAAGAAGCCGAGCAGAGACGGCAGATGGAATTACGTTTGTTACATCACTGGATAGTGAATGTGGCGCGACCCTTTGGCATGACCTCCCCTCCTAGCTGGAAGGAGTTATGGTGGGGAGAGGTGCCCGAAGTCGCGCTCGAGAACAAGAATGTTCTCTATGCCATGTTTGCTATGACTGCAACTCATCTTCTTGGAAGACGCCCAAACGACGGTGCTTTATATCAAGCGCGCGAGAACTACTGGGTCTGGGCGTTGCAAGRGCAGGGAGCAGCTGTGGCTGTTCTGGGACACTCAAACACCGACGCCGTGGCATTTGCCGCACTATTGATCTCTATGAACGCACTCGCCATGCTCCAGGAGCGGAACCTGGAACCTTACACTYCTCCAATGGAATGGTTAGAAGTCGGCCGAGGCGCATTTACCGTGCTTCCTCCACCCGAGAGCGTTCGTGAAGGGACGGGTCTTAAGGTGCTTATGGAAACGACGGCACCCATCTGGCAGGCAGAGCCTGTGTTTGATGCGGAAATGCAACGGGAGTTTGGTGCGGTCTTGAATCGGGACATTCCGTCCACGGATGTGTGGGACGCGGAGACTACCGAGTCGTATGAGACTGCTTTGAGCTACATCGGCTCATTTCGCCGTGCTATACTTGCTGGAGAGGCCGCCGACATCAATCTGCGATGGATTTGCATGTTTCCGTTCATGGTTCCAAGGCAATTCATCGACTTTGTTGGCGAGGGAAGGCCAAGAGCATTGGTAACGCTGGCCTACTTCTTCGCTGTGATTGCGCATACAGACGCTCTCCAATATCTTGGCAACATCGGAGATCGAACCACTGCCAGACGCGAGATCATCGCTATCAGGGCTATGCTCCCTGATGAATGGCAAAGCCTCATGGCATGGCCCTTGAATGAGATTGGAGGTGGCTGAGGCGAACGCACGAATCTTACCCAACCATCGTCGCATCTCCGAGTGGCTTGCGAATATCTCCAACGTCTGTCGCAATAGCCGAATGAGCTCTGCACATCAACCACAGCGATATGCCCTTGATGACTGGCGAAGCGTAAGCCGCGCAAGCGAAGGGTCAGCTCGACCTTTCGGCAGAATATCCACTTGCTCCTAGTCATCGTGGCACGCATGCTCCTCTCTTCACCGCCTGGTCAGTTGGAGTGTGAGTTTGGGCGGCACAGCGCAGCCGCACACGTGCTTGCCACAGCAGATCGTGCATACATCGACGTTTCCGACTGTGGTGGGACGATGCAACGCATCGGAAGTCAGCCGTGCCGCCAAATCCGCCCAAGGGAATGCAGCACACGGCGTGGACTTTTCCGACCGGCCGAATGTACCGGAAGCTATCGTGGCGGAGTGGACGATTGCCAAGTGTACCAACCATATCGATCGGCAAAGCAGACGCAGGGCGCTGACATGGACACACACGAGGTAGCGAAACTCTATTGGGCACTGCATGAAAACGCAGCCAAGAATATGCATCRCGCCATCATTGACAACGCACTGCGGTCTTGATAAAGCTGTATAGAACGGGCAGAGTTTGCAGCGTCGCAATGATTTAAATAAATGCATGTCTGCAGGCGCATTATATCATGTACCAGCAACACCAGAACAACACCAGAATCCTCGCGACTCGACCATTGCCTTCCAGGACAATCCATTGACATCTGGCGAGGGATGTCAGCGCCAGAAACCAGATCCGACAATGCTTCCAATGAGATCCCGAGGCGCAGTCTCCGTGTGATGCGATGGAGTCAGACCGCCCGGTTCTCTGCCAGAATCATCTGTCCTACTCCCCGTCACGGAGCCAATGTCGCACTGCGTACACACTTGGAACGGACCGGCGATGAATTCCTCCGTCCTGCAGATATGTGCTCACTACTCTGCGTCCCGCAGCAGCATTCTCGTCACCTAACGCAGAAATACACGTTCGCGTTATCTTCCAACAGACCCCGCCCTGCTAGCTTGAGTTCGAGCAAAGAAATTCATTGGATGAGAGGCGAATCGGTTGATGAAATGTATTCGCTGTCTCTTCTTGCAGTAGTGGCCAGCGTGGAAGCTGTCTTGACGAGAATGTCCCCATTGGTAGCGGTCTCCTCCCTACCAATGGGCCATCTGTGCGACCATCATCCGACGGCACATGTCGTCGATGAAGACCAGGGTCCCGAAGATTCCTGCGGGCCATGGGACAGCGCCTCCAGAGTAGCCACGCTTTCGAGGATATGCGAAATGGAATCTTTTTTCGAGTCGTTGCTCCCGGTCGATCTACGATGGCCTCGGAGCGACTCAATTTGAATCCTTGGATTGTCCGGTGGCTGCTGAAACTCCGCGAGGCAATCGCTCAGCCGGGTGCTCGTCGCRTCTTCATTTCGCGGAGATGGACCTCGGAGATGGGTAGATGAATTGCGACAATCTCAATAAGGTAATCCGAGCGTTCAATTTGAATGCTTGGACCGGTCTGGACAAACGCCCTGATATTTGGGAACGGTCGTAGCCCTAGGCGCATGAACCGATGTGCAAGGTGAAGGCGGCGACCTTCGGGTGGCAGTTTGGCAACGCTCCACAAACGTATAGTAGTGGCCGCACTCTTCAAACTTCATGCTGWGCGAATAGCCTGGAAGCGGGAGAATCGAAAGGGTCAGCGAATGCTTGCAAAAATACTTTGGCCCATGGACGAAAATACAGCCAGGCCAGCCCAGCAAATGGTCAAGGAGAGAGAAATGTGCTCTTTGCCATCGTCTGTCCGCCTGCCTCTTTCGCTTTTCGTTTCGCTTACACTTACACATTGTTTTTTGTCTTCCCTTGCCTTGGTAGTGCTGCCTTTTTTTCCCGCTCCGATGATCCTAAATTGAGAGTTGTCCTGCCAGACCTCGACCACGGACGGACGGTGCACAACAGCAGCGGGTAGCCGAAACGCCAGGGTACGTCCGTACGCTTGGGCCGGTAACTCTCGTCTGTGAAGAGGACATATCAGGGACAAGGTAGTTGTGGGGGAGAGTAAGGTAGTGATGATGATAGATGGATATTGGGGAAACCTTACATTTGTGTCAGACAAAAGTATATTGGTATGGGTATGTGGAGTGCAGTGTTTTTGTTGGCATAGAGAAAGTCTAGAGACTGGCAGCAGCGGCGCCTTTGAGAGGTCGATAGTACCTAAGGTATATACGGGTAATATCGGTAAACTTATTTTTTTCCCTWCTCTCCCCATTCCCTCAGACCTCTGCCCTCCCTCCCTCCACCGGAGCAAGCAAGCAAGAAAAATCGCAAGCATAAGGTAATAAGCGCGTTCCGGCACGTGGACTTTTGCCTCCATTGGTAGGTGCAGGTGGGTACGCTAAGGTAATCTGGGGACTTCAGGTTTTTTGTCTGATCTCGTGAAGAATGAAGGACATTAAGGTTGTCTGTCTGTCCCAGCTATACTTTTGTCGTATTAACCTATATGAGGAGAAACACCTACTCATTAATTGGCAGCCACATGGCATGGCACACAGATTAATCAATACTTTATATCTAACATGCCACAAAATATCACAGTTCTATATAGAAAGATCGAAGCATTTTGCCGCGGCCCTTCTTCTCGTTTATACCAAAAGTCACAAAAAATAACATTTTTGTTCGCGGGTAATCCAACCACATCTTGGTCAGCCTCGGACTAGTCAGAAAAGTAGTTAAGCTCGAAAATAACGCTCATTGGTAGCGGAATCGGGAAGAAAACATCCACAGCCATCTCGGCCATGCATCTTCGGGTCCAAGAACGCAAATGGTCTGGGAAGAATCATGCGGCCTCTTCTTGGCCGGGGACTACAGTACCATGGTTGTGCCCATGAGCTTTGCCTGTTTGTGCGGAACTAACTCTTGCATGCCGCATGCGGCACGCACATGGATGGACTGCAGGGGTCCCTTCCTTGGACGCGGGGATAGAACGTCCGCTTCCTTGCCGATCTGCTAGCAGTTTAAACGCGCGCGCGACCTAGATCTTTGTTTTTCGAACAGCTGACCGACCGCACTTCTTCGCAATGTAAACGCCTCCTGTGACGTATCGTATCGTATCGTATCGCCACAGCACGCTCATATGACCGGCGAGTAGGCTCTAGTCATAGTCTTCTATCGAAAAGATAGTTGATGGCGAGAATTCAACCGCGAAAAATCATCGGTGGAATTGCCATTGAAGTATATACACATTCGAGTGATGTTCACTAGAGACGCACTTTATATATCGATTGATGCTCGTCTGCACGGAACTACCCCCTAGCAGCCGAACTTAACAAGCGCTTCCTGAGTCATGGTCATTGAATCCAGGGCTGAAGACGGGGGGCCCACGGGGGGCCGTCGCAAACGCAGTGAAGATCATGCATACTGCTGCAGCTAGCTAGATGGTTGGTTATAACTAGTTTATACCGGTTGCTTGTCGTTGGAGCGATCTGCCACACTTTGCAATGGAAGGAATGGATTTTTCATTGATTGAGACCCAAGGGCCTACAGGATCCACGAAGACATGTTGGCGGTGGAATTTGAAATACGAGGTTGATCATAACTTAAGAAAATGTTGCATTGTGGCATTCCCGGTAATATGCAACTAAGTTACAGGTACTTGTGCGCTCACTATTGACTGTAGCTGGGTGGCGTCGCGCTTCAGCACGCGCGGTCTGCTTTGCATGATTGCGGCCACTCTAAAATACGGCGAAGCCAATAGTTTCAGGCAGCAATGCGAGTCCGCGGAGTGGCTCGATCTGATCCAAAGAGATAGCTGGCAATGCATGTAGGTAGCAGCTGTGGGTTCCCTTAGGCTTGGTCTTTCGAGGTCACAGCCCGCTCGCGATCGGAACTTCTTCATGCAGTCGCCGCCGATACACATGGGATTCGCACATGTCGCTTCGCACTCTGGGAGCCTGCCAGGCTTGGCCTATTGTCTCTATGTCGGTATCCGCGAGGTCAAGGATATCCAACCTGCAAGATGGCCGAACCTGTTGCCTGGGTATTGTTGTTGTTTGCGTCGTCTCTTTTGATTGTGAGGCAGGTTTGGGGTCAAAGAAAGTGGCAATAGGAAGCGGTCAGCCGGCAGTATAGGTGACGCCCAAGGTGTAAAGGAGCTGCTTTGGTCTCCTTGGCCCTTTCTGTACGATGACTTGCTCGACTTGCGTTGCACAGGAGAGATGACGGGCCAAAAGCTCCATCTCAAGCGTCAGCGACTCAAGGTTGCGTCGAGCGATCGTGATGACATCCATGCGGGTGCTGACCATGTCTTGGTCTGCCATATTCCTGGCGGCATACGAATGAAGTTCGCGACCTGGTCTGTCGACGGAGGATTCGGGGGAGATTCCAGGATGCTTGCATACACTTGCAGTTGTGTTGGAGTGATTAGCAGTGATGGTGCAGCGTCAAGTATTCATAACGTCTGCCCAGAAGGAGTTTCGATTCCGAGTGGCCGGTTTTCGGAAGGAGCAATCGGATTCCTCTTTGAAGATCTTAATCTTGCTTTCCATGTCGTCCCAGCCTTCGCTATCACTAAAGTCGTGCGAAGATGCGATGGTGTAGYACGTCGAGCCTGCCTGYGAGCCCGTGAAGAGGCTCCTTGTGGTCGAAGAGCATGTGGAAGGTCTGGAGCAGGTGGTGTCTGCTTCACTGCTGGTCGCCAGCGCATCTTCAGCCAGTCTGCTCTGGATGACCCGCCAGAGCATCCAACGGATGACCCAATTCCCGTTGCTGCCACCGACAATGTCGTAGATGCCTCTGGTCTGCTTGGACGATCCTTCGTAAATCTTTTCAACTTCTCGCTGGAATGCAGATTCGGTGATTTGCAAGAGATTGTACGGAGGCACAACGTGGGGATTCCCGACCAGCTCTGGCTGCAATGAATTTCTCGTACTAAACAGTCTGTTCATACCGTCCCAGGCTTCGGCCTGATGAGATGTTAGCAAAGGATGAAGGCGTGAAGTCAGGGTATCGTACCTTCATCTTCCGGTAGATGAGCCGGTGGCGGTACATGTTTTCCTGAAGACCGATATGTAGGAAGAAGTTTGTCCTCGTGTCATCCGGGCTGAGAGACACTCCAGTTGGGCTGAGAAAGATAAAGTCATCCAGACTGAGGTGATCGCACAGGCGCGACTTTTGCGTCCAGAAAGATGATCGATCCATGTGCGACTGGTTCGAATGGGCGGTCGCTGTGGGCCGCCGCTATATCAGAAGATCGTATGGGTGTATGCACTCTCAGTAAGATGGCATGCCGTGCTATTGATCGGATGGAACCAGTATGCTGTGCTTCGGCCTAGCAGGGGCAAGGTGTTGGAAGAGTGCTGCGATTGTCTGTTACGAAGGAGAATACCTAGTAGACAGAATAGGACAGTGGATCGAGGATGGAAGCTCCAACTTCTTCTTGACTTTGGTAGATGAGGTGCTACTGCAGCGACCCGCGCCGGCCAGGAGTCGTAGCCCTGGAATGCTCAAGCATGCGCATGATAGAGTGGCTCGAGAGTGGGTGGCAGCTGCATCCGGGAGAACCAAAGAGTGGAAGCCACTGAGAAGGAGGGAATCCCTCGATGCTCGGCCAGAGCGGCGGTTCTCGCTGCTTTAGCCTGGGCCTCCCATGGTTCGCTAGTTACGGCCGACCAACCCCAGCTGGTTGGTTTTTCGGCGCCGTGATCCATCACGGATGCCACTCGTCGGAACGGCCAACCGTCTCCATCCCAGAGGGAGTGAGCCGAGTTCCCGACCCCAGCTCTGAGTGGTCGATCTCAAAGACAATCGTGCGCCATCGATGCTTTGTTCGCAATTCAGCAAAAAGACTGCCAATCAGCGTTTACCCAGCCTTTTCGCCTTTTTTTTTTTCAACAGTACGTAAATGGTCAAAGGATTATCCCTCAAGCGCCACAACACCCACCCCAAGCAATCGATTTGAGATGGGCGCACTCTAACATGCTTTGTGTGACTCGTGCCGTCGTGTGCTACGTGTATATCCACCTTTCGAATGACGGATCCTACCAAGGCGAGTCTCGAGTTGCGGCTGACGCGCATCTGCAGGTTCTCCATGCGATCGTACGGATCCACGATCAAGGGGGCCAGTTTACAGTAAGCTTTCAAGAAAAGGTTGCTGCGGGAGAAGTCTACACAACGTGATGGCAGGGGTGGGAGCACTCCTCGGCTTCGGCCTTGTAATTAATTGTTAACGGCTTGCGTACATTAGCGTCTTCGCCCCGAAGTTCCCTCGAATGGGCAGTCGATGTGGCTGCGCTGACTTGCATTGCACATCATGCAATTCGGGATCACGTTGTAGGTCATTGCTGCGGCCGACCGAGCATACATACCGTTGATCCAACGAAATTGGTCCCATCATCGGTGTTTTCGTGGTGTCAACCGTTGTAAGCTGACGTCCCTCAGTGAGTCCTATCTCGCTGCACTCGCCAATGCGAGACTGCGTCGTTGGTATCGTCATGAGGACAGGAATGTGGAGGGGAGACGACGAATTATCCAGAGGCCAAACCCGAATGGAGAATCGCCAATAGCCTTTGCCTCGCTGTGCCCTTGACTCGTTCACGCCCACGTCGCTCGGCTGCAAGCATGAGGCACCCCCGACCACGGGAGCATTTTGACTGCTCGGGACTTGCAAGGCCATGTACTTCGTAAGGAGACGAGGTTTGATGATGCCCAATGCTGGCCCCAAGTTCATGGTCGTGTCAGGTGGACGAGAAGACAGCGTCACATCGACGTACCCGACCAACACCCCAGAACGTCTAGATGCATCTCCGACTTTTCCTCCACAATAGTGAGGAAACCCCACGCCAGCCACATTTGAGGCACGCAGCTGCGTTCGGCTGCTTCGGTTGCCTCTTTGGTGGTGGTGGTCGTTGTTGACGCAATGCTGGCACTACTAACTATCCTGCACCACCTCTTCGGACGTGGGCCGCGAAAGTACCAAGCTGCAGGCAATGTATCGCAAAGCTTGGAACAAATTTTATCGAGACGTTATGCTCAAGATGAGTCCGAACTTCGATCTGCTGCATTGCTGCTCCCGTTCTCTTGCTCGAGTGTTGTGACTGTCGCCGCCGTCCCTCTCTGAGCTCTGAAAATTTCAGAAATCGTGGACATGGCGGTAATATCAGACCAAGGAAGACAAAAAGCGATCCAATATGATCCAGCGTCAATCTTCTTGTACCAGCATCATTACAGTCAAGGTTGGCCAGCTCGAACTGCCGCAAATCATCGGTCCAAGCGGTGACTTCCTGCGAATCTTCACGGGAGTGGTATAGCATTTCGCTAGGATGCAAGAACACAGTCGCCAAAAACTCCGGAACATGGACCACAGGACGGAGCTCCGGAATCTTGACAGGGCATGAAACTAGAAATGAGCCATCAGCTTCTGCAGGGGCAGGATCCGGCGACCTCACCTACTTACTTTCAGCATCGGGAATGCTGGTTGATGAGCGCCATTCCATCAAAACGCATGCGATGGGACATTCCACCAGCCGAGGAACGACCAAGCATGGAAGAATCTTCAATATAGACATCTTCTCGGCAATAATCGAAGTCTCCTGTGTTCGCCTGTGGGTCCATTCTACGCGAAACCGCTACGCGAAGCCGCTACTCGTGCACGCACTGTACACGATAGAAGAAGCACGGAGGCAATGCTACGAACACAGCGAAACGAGTCGTGAATCACCACCCCTTTGGACCCAATCAGTTCGATGTCCTTGATATGCAATGCCCCATGTCCGGCTCCGGCTCTGGACTACTCCATCCGCGACACAGGTGTCAAATCTACAATGTCAAAGACACGAAATCCAAACCAGTGTCTCATGTTAATGGCACCTATTTCATGGACTGCACCTGGCCGCTTTGTACAACAACATCAATGCGTAAAGGAAGGGGATCCACTGCTACTGCCGAAGGGGCTGCAGGAACTGCAATATAAGTATGTACGTAGAATATGCTTGATCGCTGTCCTTACCACAAATTTCATTCCTTTCAAATTCTCAAAACATGCAGTACTCTGCTTCCGCTCTCTTTTTTCTGGCGCTGGTCGCTCCAATTCTTTCAGCCGCAGTTTCCGGCAGCCCTGAGGGATTCGCTTCGGGCACCACAGGCGGTGCTGGCGGCTCAACTGTCACGCCTTCTACCACAGACGAACTTGTTTCATACTTGGAGTCCAACGAGGCTTTGACAATCGTTTTAACCAAGACTTTTGATTTCACCGGCACCGAAGGTAGTACCACGGAAAACGGGTGCGCACCGTGGGGTACTGGATCAGGTTGTCAGCTTGCCATTAACAAGGATAACTGGTGCGCGAACTACCAAAGTGGCGCGGGATCCGTGAGCGTTACATACGACAAGGCTGCCAGCACGCCTATCAATGTAGGCAGCGATAAGACGTTGATCGGTGAGGGATCCGCTGGTGTCATCAAGGGGAAGGGGCTCAGCTTGAGTGGAGGCGTCAGCAACGTTATCATTCAGGTATGCTCGACCTCTCCATATCTTACTGCAACACACACTGACTTTTGGCAGAACGTAGCGATCACAGAGCTCAACCCAGAGTATGTGTGGGGTGGCGATGCCATCACCCTCAATGGATGCTCAAACGTCTGGATCGACCATGTAACCACATCTCTCATTGGTAGAATGCACATTGTAGCAGGCTATGAAACAAACACTGCCGTCACCATCTCGAATTGCGAAATCAACGGCGAGACCAGCTGGAGTGCTTCCTGCGATGGGCACCACTATTGGGCCCTCTATTTCACAGGCACCAATGACCAGATCACCTTCAAGGGTAACTACATCCACCACACCTCTGGACGATCGCCCAAGGTTGACAAGGGCACCCTCATCCACATGGTCAACAACTACTGGGACGAGAACTCTGGCCATGCCTTTGAGGGCGAGAATGCATATGTTCTGCTCGAGGGGTCGACTTTCGACAACGTTCAGGCTTGCACGGCTGATTACACTGCTTCCACCTTTGCTCCTTCTAGTGTTTCGAGTTCGTGTTCCAGTGGGTTGGGTAGAAGCTGCGCCGCAAACTCCTTTGTAAACTCTGGAGCCGCGGTCAGCGGTTCGGACTCCAGTGTCTTGAGCAAGATGAAGGGGCTCAAGATTGCTGATGCGGACGCTGATGCGAGTGGAGTACCTTCTAGCGCTGGAGTTGGAAAAGTCTCGTCGTCGAGGAATGCGACAAGGAGAGCAGTATCGTCTAGATTCTTCCGGGTATGAGAACTCCGCCAGAGCACATATTCAGATGCAGGATGTCTAAAGTTCAAGGACTYGTTGTACTGTCCTGAGATCATAGTGTTTTTGATAAACAGATCGCCAGATGCAAGCCAGCTTCGTTGATAGTCACCTCAGATGATATATACTGCATCAAAATTTCGACTTCTACCGTGCCTAAAAGACTCATGAATGCTGATGTCGACGAGGTCAGGCTCTTTGTCTGCAGTGATGATATGATGGTCAACCAAGGTCAGAGTGAGAGTGTTGATGGAGATGGAGGAGAACAAGGCCACGGTCGATGCGAGTCATGCTTGCCGGGATTGAACCACACATGCATGACTGGTGCTTTCACTTTTCACACACGCACCACCTCCAATCTCTCTTCGCTTTCTGGAGTATGGGTCAACCCTGAGCCGTAAGGACAAATTGTAGAAAAGTGTCCGAGGGATATGAAGCACAAGCACAAGCACACGGAAAGTTCTGCCTTCCTCCCTTCGTCGCTATCATTTCTCTCAAGTTCACGAGACAAGTGCAGAGCGCTGATCAGTAGATGGATGGGTCAATCGTCATCGCTCCCAGACGCGTCCACCGGCAAACCTCACCCTTCAAGACCATATTGATGAGGCACTAGCCGTGACGACTTTTCTACATCCACAAGGAATGAATAACCCTAACCAGATGAACGAGACCTAAAGAGATGCATCTACTCCTCCTTTACGCTGCAGCAGCTGCCATCTTTGCCGAGCGGGTAGCAGCAGAAGACGGCAATAAAGCATGGCTACGATATGCTCGTCTCCCAAGCGCACAGCAATATCACGACTTTCTACCAGACGTGATCTCTGTGCTGAATCGCTCAGAGGCTAGTCCTGTCTTCACTGCCGGCCAAGAATTACAGATGGCTCTTCAGGGTGTCTTTGGCTGGTCTTGCCATATTTTCTACGAGGATGGAGATTTGTCTGCTTTCCCGAATGGCTCTGTGGTTGTTGTGGGGACTGTTGAGGAGTATAGGAGAGTTTATGGAGATGTTGATGTTGGGGGGCTTTGGGGGGGATGGGTTTTGGGTTGATATGAGTGGTGGGTTTACGAAGATTCTGGTGAGTTTCCTCGGTTTTTATGTTTGCTGCTTTGGTCGCGATTTCTTTTACGCCTTATATCCCTAAATGGATTGTATCCTTGTTTGGAGGACCGCTGTGCTCATGGGGTGATTTCTAGCCGCTTGTAATTTTGCTATCGTATCGRGACGCTTGGAAAGATTGTTATAAAGGACTTCCAAGATCGTATCATTGCTGAACACCTGGCATCTTGATTACTGCACCTTATGAATGTACATTAGACTACGACGCGATTGCTAACAAGGCGCTCGTAGGCTGACAATGAGCGCGGCGTTCTGTATGGCGCCTTTGAGTACATATCGATGCTAGCACAAGGCGACTTGTCAGAACAAAAGTATGTTACCAACCCTGCTGTTGAGCTTCGCTGGGCAAATCAATGGGACAACATGGTACGTTTGTCCCCCAAGCACTCTCCGCGTCACAGCAATTGACCAGTCCCAGGACGGCAGCATTGAAAGAGGCTACGCAGGCCGTAGCATCTTTTTCGCAGACGGTGYTGTCGTACAAAATCTAACCCGAGCCGCTCAATTCGCCCGACTCATGGCTTCCATTCGCTCGCATCAACACCATCGTGGTGAACAACGTCAATGCTGATGCAAGAACTATCAGTCCAGATAATCTCGATGGATTGGCTCGGATAGCGGACGTCTTTAGACCATATGGAGTGAAGTTGGCAATCTCATTATATTTTAGCAGTCCTACGAAGTCTGTGCCCGGACGACCAACCTTGGGAACATTCGACCCTTTGGATAAAGGGGTGATTGCCTGGTGGCAGGATGTCGCGGACGATATCTATCGGAGGATTCCTGATATGGCTGGTTATCTCGTCAAGGCCAATTCGGAGGTATGCCATTCTGACCATGCAACCGTCATGTATGAGAAGCYGATGATTTTCCTACTTTCAGGGACAACCTGGACCGAATGACTACGGACGCACTCTATCCGATGGTGCCAACCTCTTCGCGAAGTCTATACAAAAGTACAACGGTGCTGTCATGTTCAGAGCCTTTGTATATGGTCCCGTTGATGAAAGAGACTGGAAAGCCGACCGGGCAACAGCAGCAGTCAATCGATTCAAGCCTCTGGATGGCGAATTCGACGACAATGTCATTATCCAGATCAAATATGGACCACTCGACTTTCAAGTTCGCGAGCCGGTATCGCCTTTGTTTGCAAACCTCCGCCAGGAGAACATGGCGATTGAATTCCAAGTCTCGCCTGAGTATCTTGGACAGGACTGTCATTTGGTTTATCTCCCTCCTTTATGGAGGACGGTGTTGGATTTTGATCTGAGAATTGATGGGAGGGTAACCACCACTATGGACGTGTACACTGGTAAAGTGTTTAATAATACGCTGAATGGTTTCGTTGGCGTTACGAATGTTGGGACCAACATGACTTGGCTGGGCAGTCATATGGCCATGAGCAATATGTATGCCTTTGGGAAGTTGGCCTGGTACGTCCAAAATTTCATAACACTCTCAGTGTCCGCTTTCAAGCGGGAGCATGATTGTGTCCTTGAGAATGATCCTTCTAACTGTAATGTACTTGTAGGAACCCTACTTTAAGCTCCGAAGATATCCTAAACGAGTGGACCAGGCTCACCTTCGGCCTAGACCAACACATCACAGATACCATCTCAGAGATCTCACTGATATCATGGCAAGCATACGAGAACTACAGCGGAAATCTAGGACTAATCACTCTGACAGAAGAGTCACATTTTGGCCCAAACCCACAGCGAGCCGACGACGGAAACACCCTCGGCCTCTTCACACGAGCAGACAAGACCGGCATTGGAATCGACCGCACCTTCAACAACGGATCAGGCTACGCTGCACAGTATCCATCAGAAGTAGCAGCAACTTTCGAAAACCTCGCCACGACTCCCGAGGAACTATTACTATGGTTCCACCACGTCCCCTACTCACATCTCCTCCAATCCGGAAAAAACCATACTCCAGCATATATATGACGCCCATTACGATGGCGCGCAAACTACACAAGCCTTCTTAACTAAATGGCAACAACTGCAAAGTCTAATCGATACCGAAAGATACACATCGCAACTCTTCCGACTAGATTTCCAAACCGGCCATGCGCTTGTCTGGAGAGATTCTATCGTTAATTGGCTGTACACCATCACGGTGTACTGAATGATCCCTGCTGATACAAAACTTAGTGACAGGTATTTCCAGCGCATCCCGGGGCCATGTCACAGTGTACTGCAATGGTTTTATGTCTGCAACTGTCGCTGCTGATCTGAACTGCGCCGCCACGATTGCAACGTCAAATGGCAACAGATTATTGCCAGACCACGCTCCTGAGGCCCTCACCACTAACAAGCCATCTGCCATATCACTATCATGCAAGAAGTCCTCTCGAAAGTGCCAGGCACGAAAACTGTCGTACAGGTCACTTACATGACTGTATCTGCAGGGCGCGATCTTGTCTGCATGGCATCCGACTCTTGCGAAGTCAGCTAGGCCAGCTCGGATCAGACTCCGTCAGGTCCTGCGGCAGCAGATCAGAATGAATGAGGGCTAACTTATCCGTGCCATATTTGCCGCTCGTACACCAAGGCGTTGATGTCGACACGGATAGTACAGGCACACGCGGGGTCCAAAGGTTGAGACAATTGCTTTCATCTGGAAATGATTTCGCAGATCGGACAGTGTCCTGATGGGAAGATGGTATGCAAGAACTCAGTCTTCACGCGCTCCAATAGACGTGCGTTCCCATCTATGCCACCTCACTGTCTCTGGTTATAATTCTTGTGCAGTAGTCGACCATCCCGTGGAAACGCTTGACGTAGAGCGTGGTATCCATCGTCTCGTGAACTGCATCTGGGTCAATTCAGATACGCATGACCATATACTGGCAGGTTGTAGAGGCGATTGTAATGCTGCATAGCCGCAGAGAGTCGGCGTGCTGATTCCTCTTCTACACGGACGGACTGGCTCATGGCGGCCAAAGGATGCCATCGCTTTAAGATGAACATGGTTGGAAGAACGGGATGAGTTTCTCGACAATCTGCGGCCCTCAAGATGACGACGATAGTCTTGGTACCTTTGTAGGTGATGTCGGAAGTGACTACTGTAACTTGATGGATGGAATAGTGGAAGCGATGACCACGTGGAGTCCGTGCAGACTCGGGAAATTGCACCGACATGGTGGACTTCACTCTCATCCCTCCCGCTTCACGCTTGTCAATGTCTCGCCATCCTCACTCACTTCAACGGCAACTGGATGGAGGCTTGCGGTAGTGTGCCCGCTTCGAGGCCACCGGACGAAGCCATGAGTGAGTCGGCTGGCAGCTTCGAATTCTCTGCCTCCTTACAGCGAGACGAGTGTAATCCTGCAAGTAACCGCCATGTCTGCGGCAGGTATTCTGTAGCAAGCGCTGAATAGATGACACGCTACAACGGCGCCTGGTGGGACAGAATAATTCCCAATCGAATGCCCCAAGCAGCTCCAGGCGCCGTGCAGCTGGCGACACATCATCTCCCTTTCAGATCTTGGTACGACGATCACTTCTCAGGCACATCCCCAGAAAGTCATCGCTTCGGCACAGCGTGTTGGCATGTGAAACGAGTTGAAAGACGTACAGACCCCGCCTACCCTGCAGGTCGAAGAGCTTAAGCGGTGAGCCGCCGTCGTCWCCATAGCTCTGGGATAGCATGTGAATGGGCTGATTGGCTGCACGGGCATGCCCACCGAAACGTGCTCGCAGGCATGCATCATGGATGTTGGTCATTTCATGTCATGTTGGCTTCTTGAATTCCTACAAGGCAGCTTCCTGTATGCTCAAATTCAAGGCGACTTGTCACCTTCATCAACAGATTGGACTGCAAACCATCAGTGGCGAAGAGAGAAGGACCTTTGACCAGCGATCAGGCCTCAGAAGTTGGTCTTGCCTACAAACCCTCTATGCGTCACTGGGCCATGACCATGGCTGCTCCTTAGCCTGTTGACCACATCGATGCGAAGAGCTGTGGTATTACTGCGAGGAGAAAACCATCACCCTCCATTGTCATACCAAGGGCGCTTCTGTTTTGTCAGTCGGCGGAGTCGTGGCTGGTCACGTTTTCCAACCGTGTTTGCGTGACAATAGCAAACTTTCCCTATTCGATCTGGCCAAKTGACGCAGGAAGAAAGTGCCATTATTGTTCAATCTTCACTTCAACTTGGACCACCACCCGTTTGCTGTTGTCAAAGTCAGACACTTGACCCGCAACATCCACCAACACACTGCTCGCCACCATGAAGCTTCCTTTCGGTGCCGCGCTGGCCACTTTACTGGCATTTGCAACGACCTCAAAGTTCGCCTCTGCATTCAAACTCGTCGTCAACGACACGGCATCCGTTAGAGATGCATCCACCAACCTCGCCTTTGGAGTACAGTCCTACTATCACAACAACGAGTCCAGTACGCCAGCCACATCGATCGGCACGCTTCCACTCGAGCCGTGGTATTGGTGGCTAGCCGGAGCAATGTGGGGAGGTATGGTGGATCATTGGGCGTACACCGATGACAGCTCCTACAACGCAGTCATTCAGCAGGCCATCATGGCGCAAGTCGGGCCTGACTTCAACTTCATGCCACCGGCCTACTTCGGTTCTCTCGGCAATGATGATCAAGCATTCTGGGCGTTTTCCGCTCTCTCCGCATACGAGTATTCCTTCCCACCACCAGAAGGTCAGGGCGAGGATATCTGGCTCGACCTCGCAGTGGCCGTTTTCAACACTCAAGTCCCACGTTGGGACACCGCGAAATGTGGCGGCGGCCTTAAATGGCAAGTGTTTGAGTCAAACAAAGGCTACAATTATCGCAACTCAGTCAGCAATGGTGCTTTTCTGCAGATTGCTGCTCGGCTTGCAAGGATCACTGGAAATCAGACTTATGTCGACTGGGCGGGGAAGACGTGGGACTGGATGAACAGCACTGGCTTGATTGGATCAAATTATCAAGTCTACGATGGCACTGACGATTTGATCAATTGTACTGAGATCAATCACATCCAGTGGAGCTACAATCCTGCAATTCTGCTACATGCCAGCGCGACGATGGCTAACTTAACCAATCTCCCCATCTGGCAGTCACGTACTGACGGTCTGCTGACATCGATCTTGAACACCTTCTTCTCTCCATATCCGAATGCCACGAGCATGTAAGTGATGCTTGTACGTGGGTAATTGCGTCAACCCGCTAACAATCATTCAGTATGTACGAGCCAGCCTGCGAGCCCTCAGGTAAATCCTCCACCACCATATGCGACAAAACAATGAGATGCTAACCATTCACAGATACCTGCAACATCGACCAAACGTCCTTCAAAGGCTACCTCTCCCGCTGGATGTCCAAAAGCGCCATCCTCCAACCCTCACTCACCAACGCCGTAACCAAATATCTCAGCGCCTCCGCCCTAGCCATTGCAGCTTCATGCACAGGAGGTGGCAACAACAACACCACCAGCAGCCAAACCTGCGGTCAAAAATGGTATACAGGAAACTATGACGGAGTCCCCGGGGTGGGACAACAACTCTCCGCTTTGGAAACTGTACAAAGTCTCCTCTTACTAAGTGGATCTGCGACGAGAAGTATTCCAAAAACACAGGCCAATGTGGTAATCCAGGTCGTTCCTATGAGGAGTGAGTTCCCACTGACTACTCCCCCGAAAGACATTTCTGCTCCTTCTGCTTCCGGGACTGGTCCTTCCACTGGTTCTGGTGGTTCTGCTTTGTCGTCTTCTGATGGTATGAGTGCTAATGTTTTGAATAATAGAGGGTCGCTAAAGTTGTGCGTGGCTGGGTTGCTTGTTTGCATGGCGATGGCGTTGTCTGGGAGGGGCTTTGGGATCTTGAGATGACGACAGATTTGGGGTTTCTCTTTGCGCATCAGCGGCATGGTTTTGCGAGGAGTATTTCAGTATGTTGATGTGGCGAATGGCATGGAAGATGAGAGAGTCTATCCAGAAGCTGTATGTACTCAGTAGATGAGAGACTAGAAGGGATCGAGGCAATCCCAATCAACACAGACTTTGGGAACACCTTACAAATGCCATTCTCAATGCAATTTCATCATCTGCACGTTGGAAGCATTTCATTTTCATTAATAGTTGTCGTTGATTAACACTCGTTCAGTCATAGAAGCCACTTACTAGCTCATCTAAATGGCACCTAGCACGACTCCCGCTACAACCGCCGCCACTCCCCATGCCTCTACTCCCCATCTCTCTCCCGCAGCACCGGCTACAACAACCCCATCACTCATATCCGCTGGCGAACTCGAAGACGGGCCTCCCACAGCGGAAGTCAAAGTGGAAGTCACAGGTCCATTGTCCGATTGCGTGACGAGCGTCACACTAGTCATAGTCTCCGGCGTAGCACCTCCGGTTGATGAAGGCACAGTAGTTGCCATTCCACTGCTTCCTGAAGACGAAGTCGTGACGCTGGTCATCAGCGTCAAAGAATTGAGATTCGGAACATCGCTTGCGCCACCTCTCGTGAGTTCCGTCGTAGTCGCACTCAAAGTACTGGTCACGCTTGCAACGTTCCCAGCTGTCAAATCCGTCGAATTACACATAATCGAGCCCACCCGCACGGTATTTGTCGACAATCTGCTCGGTGTTTCAYTCGTGAAGGGAAGGCCTCCCATGCCGGTAAGATTTCCATTGCGGTAGGGATAGCAGGTTATGCTGGGGAAATCCACATCTCCACTGCTGYCGATGAGATAGAGGGTTGAGACTGTGTTCAGAGCGGGGTTGGTGTATTGTGTGGAGAGTGGTATGGAGAGGGTCGTGTTTGTAAGTCCGTTGCCTGCGCCGCCGTGTGAGGCTTCGACTGTGATGATTGCGATGGCGGGTGTCTGAGCGTTGGCGAGGCTGGCCAAGGCGGTTGCCACCAGCAGATTTTTGAGCTTCATTTTTGGGTGAGATGTGAGTGGGACGGTGATGAAGATGGGTAGAGGGAGAATGGAAGGGTGGGAGTTGTGCTTATGCTTATGTTTGCTGCTGTGGATGACTTTTTTGGTTGCTGCGTGACTGGGTGGAATGTTGTTTGTGAAGGTGTAACTTGAGGGGGCAGAATTGGATGGACAAGGGAGATGGAAGTCGTTGGGTTTGTCTTGCCTTTGATACCAACCGTCCATCGGTGCTCTCCAGCCTCGTCGACGACTTTCCCGGCCATGTCGTCAGCGGTGTCACGAAGATAAGATAAGCCGAGCTGCAAGGAAGAAGGAAAGGTCGAGGTGGAACATTGAAGCGCGGGCTAAAAATACGGTAGGTGCGCATTGTCAGGAACGATGGGCGTAGAGTGAGTGGTGCGGAGATGATCCTCATGCTCCCCCTCCAGCCAACTCCTTTCCTCTGCAGTCCTCTCCCTTGGATGCAACACGACATCTGTGGTCGTGGCTGGAAGAAGTGAGTCGGAGACCTTCAGGAATCAGAAGCCTGTCCGAATCGATTTGCGGCAGACCATCTCAACCAACTTGACCATCTTGAGTCTTGACCACCTGGTGCAAGCAGCCGTCATGCAGCAACTACTGTACTTCGTACTTGGTTACGAAGAGACTGACTGTGCCACTGATTCGATCGGTACCTCTTACGTGCCCAAAATCATTGATAATAATCATCAGCACCGTCAAACGCATCCCTTTGCAGGTTGCACGATGAATCCGAGGAGAATGCGAGTTGCGGCAACGAGCGGACACTTACGATCGCAGCTAATCAAACAGTTGTCCGACGAACCCTATTGCGAAGAAAGCCCACGACAGTGCAAGACCGGTGCGTAAAACCCATGCCTAGAGCGTCGCCTGCAAGGGCTCTAATTTTTACACGGACTCGTCATTGTTGAATGCAGGACTACTCCAGGCCTGATTGCAGCCCTCGACACGGTTCCGCTCACATTCGCCTGGCCGGGTATATATCATTGATCGATTGTGCGGGCTAGCGCATCTTGCTGCATGGCCACCGACAGGCCTTTGCTGTGTCTTCCTTGCCATTTGTTTGTGCGCCAAGTCATACGAGCAAGACGCCGTCGAGACTCGAGACTCGAGAAGGATCGCGGTTGCTAGGTATCGTGCCATCGGTCTACTGTACAGAAATCGCCGACTTTGACATCATCACATCTGCCATTTGCAATCACAATTGTTGAGGTATATCCTCGCAGCGTTTCGGATTTGATTCTTAAAACGGATGGTCGTTTCGGTGAAACCTTGGACATTTAACGTGTTCGCGTGGCAACTTCAAGCCCTCTGTGGGGTACCCGCACCTTCCCTGGGCTCCACACCTGATGCTCCACTCCACTCCATGCACTAAGGCACACCTCTTGCATACCGGCCACGCCCGGCCTCCGCTCTTCGTCAATGTCATCTCGCACCCTCCTCCGCGCCCCGACATTCCAATCGGGAGCAAGTGGAAGCAAGTCAAGTGCAGGACATCTCATACTGTACAAGATAAGCTGCATGAACAGAAAGGCCTCTCCGCATCATTCAACGCTAAATCCGCAACACGAGATCCCTACGAGAGGTGACGTCAAACGGCAAGGCGAAACAGGACACTCCTTACAACATGAATCAATAATCATAGTCCAGGTGGGCGCTGTCAGAGTATTAGGAGTTCATCTGGCTGGATTCACCCTGCACTGACGAATGTCTAAATCTAAACCTGTAGAACGGAGGCTGACGCACCCCAGCGGACCATGCTTTGCAATGAGAGTATCTACTAATAACCACCACCACCACGGAAGGACACCCCGTCTTCTGCAAATCTTTCTTGTTTGTTGTCTGTCTTTTAGCCGTCTATTTCTCGCTTCTGCTTCGATCCATCTTCAATTCTTAGCGTACCGCCACTCTTATGCGCCCCATTCTGATCCCTGTCACCGAAAAATTCCCCTCAAAGGCACTCTACGTTGTGGAGCTACGTACGATCAAGTGACCGCACCCCAAGTTGAGCGGGACCAGTTCACTCGACCTTCTCCACACACCTCCACACAGTCAAGGCCGACCGACAGTAGCGCTGGTCCTACTGGCTTCGTTCCGCCCGCCGGCCTCCAGAGTCGTTCTTTAGCTGGGCCTAAGTCTATCCGGCACTGACGGACGGGATCATTGGCGGATGTGTGCTGGCATACATAAATCGACCTTTCCCCTCGTGCTTGTGTGAAGCGTTACTTGTACTATAGAGCTTAGCCATGAGGTCCCTCATTCAATACGCCGGCCTGTTGGGTCTCGTCTCTGGTGCACGATTGCCAATCCGGCAAACACCACCTTCATATACACCTCCTCCTCCACCGTCATACTCACCCGCACCACCTTCATATCCATCGCACCCACCTACGGTGACCGTCAAGAATGGAACCATCCAAGGACTGCACAGTTCAGACTACAACCAGGACTACTTCCTCGGAATTCCATTCGCACAACCTCCTGTTGATGGCCTGCGTTTCCGCAACCCACAGAGCATAAACACTACCTTTGGAGAGACGTTTGAAGCTACTGAATACGCTCCTACATGCTTCGGATACGGTGTAAGTCGACTCTCTTCATCATGACTCGGCCTAGTGAATCACAACTGACATATTTTTCGAACAGGGCGATCAAATCGGCTATCCGCAGTCAGAAGACTGCTTATACCTCAACGTTGTTCGTCCATCTGGTTATGAGGATCAAGAGCTTCCAGTCGCTGTGTGGATCCACGGCGGTGGCCTGTACCAAGGTTCATCTCAAGACAAGCGGTACAACCTCACTTTCATCGTGGAGAACAGTGTGAAGATTGGAAAACCGATTATCGGAGTGAGCATTGGTTATCGATTGGCTGTCTGGGGTTTCCTTCAATCTGCTGAGGTATGTTCGCCGAGTGTTCTGACCTTGCAATTTGAATGCTGATGTGAATTTCAGATCTCCGCAGCTGGTCAAACAAACATGGGACTTCGCGATCAACGTCTCGCTTTCCACTGGATTAATGAGAACATCAAAGCTTTCGGCGGAGACAAGGACAAAGTGACCATCTGGGGAGAGTCTGCCGGTGCAGCTTCAGTCGGCTGGCATATCACCGCCTACAATGGACGTGACGATGGTTTGTTCCGAGCAGGTATCATGCAGAGTGGCAACCCCGTCAACTACGGAGGCTACTACAACGTCTCGCACTTTCAGCCAAGATACGACGCTCTAGTTAGCGCAGTCGGATGTAACGGAACAGACTCACTCGAGTGCATGAGGAGTTTGCCAGTGGAGGTCTTCACAAAGGCAATCAACGCGACGCCAAGCCTGGCTCAAGGATGTAAGTCGTCTCCCGATCCCTAATCCTACCACAGCAAACTAACAAAAACTCCCCAAGACAACCCAATCATCGACGGCGACTTCATCCAACGACCCGCAAGCCATCAACTCGCCGACGGCTCCTTCGTCCACATTCCCATCATCGACGGCACAAACACAGACGAAGGCACATCTTTCGGTCCCTCGGTCAACTCCACCGAACAATTCTTCGCCTGGCTCACAAACAACACCGCTTCCAACAGCCTCTACCTGACCCCGGAACTCGCACAAGAAGTCCTAGAAGTATACCCCAACATTCCCTCCTACTGGATCCCCGAAGCTACCGAAGCAGCCCCCATCACCAATACTTCGACCGAGCAGCTGAGGAGAGCAGCGGCTTATGGAGGTGATGTTAGTATGAATGCCAATCGCCKAGGCGCGTGTGAGGCGTGGGCGAGGGAGGGGTTGGATGCTTATAGTTATCGATTCGATACCATCCCCGCGGGATTGCCAGCTTTTGTGGGATCTACGCATTTCCAAGAGGTCAGATACCCCCTCATTATAACCCCCTTCGATGATGACTGCGTACTGACAACATCGATAGGTTGCATTTGTCTTCGACAACACCGATGGTCTAGGCTATGATGCGGCGCACGGAACCATCAACCCCTTCAACGATGGCCAACAAAGCTACTTTGACCTCGCGGAACTGATGAGCTCGAGCTGGGCAAGCTTCATCCACGACCTAGACCCCAATAACTTCAAAGGAAGATATGCGGGCGCGGACCCTTGGCCCAAGTATTCTTTGGAGGAGCCGAAGAATATGGTTTGGCAGGCTAATGTTACTGAGAAGTTGGGGTATGCCGAGGACGATGTGTATAGGAAGGAGGGTATTAAGTGGATTTTGGAGCATGCGGAGGATTATCGACGATAGATTTTTTTTCTGATGATTGATGATTGGGATTGAGGGTGATGGATTCGTGTATGAATTTGTCGATAACTGTCGAAAGTTCAAAAGTCATCATCTTGAATGAACAGAATCGGAGGCTGGAAATACAACTATTTCAAGTAACTTATTCTCATGATCCCGAACAACCCCCCCCCCAACACTCATTCTCAAACACTACAGACCCATAATAGAAATCCACATCCATCGCAGTCCTCGGCAACAAACTAACAGACCGTAAAGAACAGCGACGTAGCATCGAACGGAGATATCTCATACCTGGTACCTTGTATGACATTCCTCAGCTGAACTAATGCAGCATCTATGCACAGTTAGAGCTAAAGCCACGTGCCGCACTAAGGATGGCAGCAGATCGAAAACCCAATTAAGCAGTTTAGAGTTCGCCTATGTAGTGATACTTGCATAAGGTACCAGAACCACATCTTCCGAGCCTCGGACGTTACTCCGTAGTTTCCTTCCAGGCTGCTGTTATATCTCGGGTTTACTTTGAGAAAAGTAGTAAGACTTATTGGAAGGGCATTTTGGGATGGACACGGCTGGGAGTTGTCTCTAATATCGGTTCCTTCCATCATGTGTGATGATGATGCATGAAAGCACGACTTACTTCCAACTAAGAAACCACACACCTCCCCCCCCTCAACCTCCATCAACTCCCTCTCATCCCTAAGCTCATCATCCGTCCGTCGAATCTCCACTCCATCAAACCACCCCTCATCCAACTCCAAACACAAAAATCTCTCCCTAGAAACCTCATCATCCCACACAGGATCCATCTTCTTAAGAACCCTCACAGGTTTCCGATACCCCTCACCAGCAACAACCCAAACCCTCTTGATCTCTCCCCCAACAACTTCATCATCAACACTCTCCACAGGCCCTCCAAACCCCAACATCAACCGCGTCACCTCCTCGGACTGGGAATCGATGGCATACCAAATCGGACTCGGCCCATTAGCGAATTTCCCACTTCCAAGATGAATATCAGCTGCATAGTCCCGGATTAAAAGAGTAATCATCTCCGAATGACCAGCCATAACAGCGACATGAAGCGCGCTGATTTTCTGCTCCTTTTCCAGAAAATTGACATTTGCGGAGAAAGAAGAATCTAGGAGAAGGGTTGTTGTTTCGAGGGCGTTGGTTTGTGCGGCGTCTAAGGGGAGGAGGGTGCTGACGATATCCCTGAATGTCTCTTCTCCTTTAGGGATATGGTCTTTGATGAAGTTGAGCAGAAGGGAGACTGTTTGGGTGAGATTTGCTGCTGCTGCTGCTCGGCCTAAGGAATTCTTKAAAGCTGGCAAAATCTGCTGCTCGGACTGGATCATTTCGTGTGGGAGGAAGGATAGGAGGAATTTTAGGATTTCGAGATTTCCGCCTGATCCGGCTTGGATTATACATTCCATAATCGCCTCCCGCTGTTCCTCACTTAGTAACTCCAACCAGGAAGTTGAATCATCTACGATGACATTCGAATCCGGAAATGCAGCTTTCTGTTTAATCAGCTCAAAGGACTCGAATTGCCCATAACATGCCGCTGCTTTCAAAGCAGCAACGCTCCAACCACAAGGTTGTTCCAGTAGTAATTTTGTGATTTCCACATCGCGACCAGCACCGAATTCCAAAGCATTCCATGTTCCTTTGCGGGTTTCACGGAGTTTTCGGAACTGCGTTATTCGCTAGTAACCAGCGGACGATTTCTGTGTGGCCGCCGACTGCTGCGCGCATGAGAGGTGTACCGCCTACTTCATCTCGGGTGTTGATATCTAGGCCGCTTGTTAGGAGGATTTTCGCGCAGGCTATGTTGTTGTTGTTGGCACAGGCTGCGTGGAAGGGGACTATGAATGTTGGATGGTCGAGGGTAGGGGATATGCCGAGTTCGAGGAGATGGGTTATGACTTGCGGATGGTTGTCGACTGCGGCGCGGAACTGGTATGGGGGGTGTGAGTATAAAGGTACGTATAATATTTATCGGACACTATGTTGCTTACCACCATGAGATGGATGCCTTGGTTTGGGAACTCGTCTAGCCACTTTCGTATGCCATTTTTCATCTCATCAAGATCCGTGAGGGCACAAACTTCTTCCATTTTGGTCCTCCGATATTCCGTCACCTCATCATCCCATGCATTTCGACTTCTCGTAGCTAGCTAGCTTGCCACTTTTCTGAATAGCTTTGGCAACCTCGACGTGGCCGGTCTTGGTGGCTTGGTAGAACGAACATATTAGGCGCCAGATGTTCATTTTCCTTTGCGAGAAGATCTGCAAGCATGACCTGCGAGTCCACAGGGACAGCGTAGATTTCCTCTAGGAGTTAGTTGCAGGGCTTGTGCTAGTTGCAATAATTTGTCGGGAGAAGTTGCGAAAAAGGCGGGATTCATAATGGTTTGGCCATTGCGAGGGATACTGGGTTCCAGTTTCAGAGTGTCCATGATGAGGGATGGTATCAAAGTTGCTGTCTGTGATCAAAGTGCAGGGATGGAAGAGTGGAATTAATTATACTTGCAATTGAAGAGGATAGTTGACTAGCTCGATCGAATCCTTCACTAGGCGGAGCTTTGAGAGTTTGCGATTCTGACTGGCTGAATGCCTGGAGGGATCTACACACACATCTGCACCTCTTGCCATGGTGCATGTTCAAAAATAGGCAGGAGGAAGTTACTGCTTGAAAAGGGCGGAGTTGGCCATTCTTACCGTACTAAGCTAAGCCGCACCTTGGATCGTCTCATTTGGAGAACGATGTTGCTCTGCTCTCCTCTTTGTTGATCGGAAGGGATGAGCGAGCGTGGGGAAGCATCGTTTGCGTTCGTTCTCGATCTACTCGCGCAGTCTTGATTGACTTGGCATCTTTCGGCTATCGCAAGTGCTGATGTTTGGGAAAAGAGGAAGATGGAGGAAGTCGGTCGTGAGTGTAGTACCGGTACCTAGGTAGGTAAGTTAGCTCTTCGAGCGTCCGTGCTGAAAGCTTACTCATCTGCCTTCACTTCACATGTTCTCAAAGTCTCCACTTGAGAACTGAGCATGTATGCCTGAGGCTCAAGTAGCCACGTGACTCAGGCAGGACTATATAGCCGAGGAATTTTCCCTCAAGTAAATTCAATAAGAGAATTCATCCATTTTAGAACATCTAGTAGCTAAGAGCTCAAGTCCAGCTCCTTAGCTAGACCTATAGTCTGCCTCGCCCACTTAGGGCTAGTAGGCTGGCTAGTTCGTTCCGTTGCCCTACATAAGACGATTTAGAAAGAAGCCCACTAGCTTAAGAACACGCATCTTAGACATTAACACAGCCCTTAGACCAAAGCGACGAGAACTCTTCCGCTAGACTGCCCCAAGAGTTAGCTTAACGCTAGCGTTACGCTACATACTTCCGCAGCTAGGTAAAAACTCTAACTTAGACCGTACACCCAAGCTAGAGCCCTCGGAAGCGCTTTATAACCATCCTCGGAGCCGTGGTAGCCCGCTCCACCTTATCGAGCAAGGGCTACACTAAGAAAGTCGCCGATATAGCGCTTAGATACGCTATATCCCGCGAGAATCCCTCTTAAGCACATACCACTATAGCTAAGCCAGCGCTAATCGCCTTGGCTTAGCCGAGCATCCTAGAAATGTAATATACTATATCTTGGATAACTATAACAGGCACTTAATACATTACGCACGGTAACCCATTTCCTTCCGCCCCACTTAAAGGTGTCTTAGTAATTCGCCGCTATAGCGCTTAAGAAAAACGCTATACTTATACGAAGTAGGATGCTTTAATTTAAAAGGAAGAGTTATGACCTTTCTCTCTTAAAGCACTACACCATCCTACCTCTATAACACTATCCACCTTTAACCGACTAAGCCATTATAGCAATGGCTAACTTATCTAAGGCAAGAGACGAGGAAGGCTCTCCTCGCCCTTAAGATGCCTCTTAGGCCGAGCAAGCCCCTCCGCTTGTCGTCGTAGGACCCTCGAAGCCTACGCGAAGCTCGCTTAAGCGCGAGTCGTACGACTTCCACTCCTTAGCCGACATAATCGATAACCTTTAGTTGTACTCCTACATCTAAAACCCTCCTTAGGGAGGACAACTTAAGGCTGTGCTAGAGGCCTCAGATGTGGAAGACGCCACCTTTAGGACCTACTTAAGAGCCGTCGCCGCTAGGCTTTAAGAACTTRAAGCCGAAAACGAGCGACTACGCGAACACGATGCACTTGACTAGGGCACTGCTGTCCTACGCGGACTAAGCGACCTAGGGTTAGTGCGGTTCCGTCTTAACGACCCTCCCGCTACTATCTAAGCTAATAGAGGCAATAGGGGTAGTTAAGCACCACTAACCGCCCCGGGATTCCCTAGAGACAGCTCTAATTCAAGCGGATTAGACAATAACGACGGCCTATTAAGGGACCGTCGCCGTGGAGGTTCTAAACCCTCTAAGAGAGCCCCTCGCATTAAAGGGACTATTGGCATCCCAGCTAACTACTATAGGGATGTTAAGGACAATGTAGCTACTCTCTAGGTTTAGGAGCTCAACCGCTACTTGAATAACATAATCACTCTTAACTAGAGGTTCAGACCCTTAGAAGAGGCGCTTATTAGCCTTGTCGGGGGCTTAATAAAGAAGAATGCATTGTCCTAGTAGGAAGATCAGGAAACTAAGTTCAAGCCTCTTATCCACTAAGGAAGCTATACCTTAGAGATAATGCTTAACGGTCTCTAAAGCCACTTCTAGGATCACTACTACTAAGAGAAGCTGTAGAAGGAATTCCGCCGCTTCAAGCAGCTAGGGAGTGTTAACTCCTTCTACTACAAGTTAATAATGGCTTCTAGCCTTCTCCAGCCTAAGCCGGATGATCTTACTATCTGTCAAGCCTTTTACGATGGCTTGAAGCTTAAGATCCGTGTAGAACTCATTCGCCTTAGCTTGACTCCTTAGAAGTCTGTCTTAAAGCCTATCGTAGACCAAGCCTAGCGAACTAATGTAGCTAATATAGAGATTGCGGAGCAACGTAGAGAGCCTCGCTTAGATTAAGCAGGCTTGCGTAATCGCTCTAACCGAGCTGCCCATCGCGCCCTTAGAGGAAAGAAGAGAGCTACCCGTTAGCAGTTAGAGCACCTAAACTCCTTAGACTAACGTGTTAGGCAAGACAACTCACGTAAGCCTACTTCGACCAACTTCTCTCCGAAGTGTTACAACTGCGGAGTAGCTAGCTATGTCTGGTTCAAATGCTCTAAGCAGCTTAAGCTAGAACTTAAGGCCAAGCAACGTAATTAGGAAGCTCGCAATGCATCCAAGTTAAAAAACTAAGTGACGATTCATTAGAGGACAATAAATCGCCCTAGCAATTGTCCTTACTCTCGATGCCTCTTAACGCTCGCTTCGATTGCTTGAATGCTATTAGGACTAATCTTCTCTAAGCCCTAGGCTTGCTAGGGAAGGACACCTAAGTCCCAGCTAAGTTCCTGTTCGACACTGCAGCTTTAGGAATCTACGTCTCTAAGGACATTGCTGCCTAGTTCCCTTAGCATTAAGTGGATCTTCCTGTTAGGTAAGTTAAACTCCCTAACGGCCGCTTAATAGAAAGCTTAACTAGTGTAGAGATTCTATACTAGCTTAGGAACTTTAAGAGTACCCTTATAGCGAGAGTGCTCGACTTAAGAGGACACGACGTGATCTTAGGCCTCTCCTAGTTCCGACAATACAACCCAACTATTAACTTCTAGACTAGCAAGCTGTACTTAAACGTTAGGGGTACTAAATATGTGGTTCCCTGTGGAGCAGCTCTCTACTACTTAACGACGGAGACTATTAACGAAGATATCTGTTCCCTCTAAGAGCTGGAAGAGCTCCTTAAACAGAACTAAGATCTCCCTCTCTTCTTAATGTCTGTAGAAGACATCCGTCCCCCGGACTTAGAGCCCGATAGAAACCTACCCCTTAAGCCTAGAGACGATCCTCCCCCCTTAAGCAAGGAAGCCTCTCTCTAACGGCTTATTAATGCTAACTTGGACCTCTTCCGCTTATTATTGCTAGCTAAGCTGCCTATAAAGAGAGCAACAGAGCACTCTATCGACACAGGCGACTACAAGCTAGTGAATTAACAGCCATACTAACTGTCTTAAGTACAGACAATAGAGCAAGAGAAGCAGGTTAAGGAGCTTCTTATCCGTAGCTTAATCGCTCGCTCCTACTTAGCTTGGGGCAGCCCAGTATTGCTAGTGCCTAAGCTAGGAGGGAAATGGCGAATGTGTGTCGATTATCGGGCCTTAAACAATGCAACTGTTAAGGACCGCTTCCCTCTCCCTCGCATTAACGATTGCTTAAACGCTTTTTAAGGAGCCAGATACTTTAGTAAGATCGACTTAACTTCAGGCTTCTAGCAAATGCGAGTTAAGGAAGAAGACAGACAGAAGACAGCCTTTAAYACTCGTTAAGGTAAATACGAGTACAAGGTAATGCCTTTTAGGCTGTGTAACGCCCCTTTAAGCTTTTAGTCCTTAATAAACGATGTTCTGGCTAACCAGCTATACAAAAGCGTTGTAGTGTACTTGGACGATATTGTCGTGTACTCCAAAACACTTAAGGAACACGAACAGCACTTAAAACAGGTGTTAGATGCCCTTCGGGCCTAGGAGCTCTTTGCATCCCCTAAGAAGTGCTCTATTAGAGTCCAAGAGTTCGAGTTCTGTGGGCATTACGTTTCCTATAACCAAGTGAGACCTATAGAGGACAAGATTGCCTCTATCCGTAATTAGCCAATCCTAAGGAACGCTTAAGAAGTGAGACAGTTCACTAGGCTGGCATCTTTCTACCGCAAGTACATTAGAGACTTCGCAAGGATGGCTACACCATTAAGCGATCTCCTTAAGGAGAGTAACCTCACCCTGCGTGCTAAGAAGAAACGCCTAATTAAGTGGAATGCACAATGCTCCATCTCCTTCGAAGCCCTTAAGAAGGCATTGTGCAGCCACCTAGTGCTAGCACTCCCTGACCTAAGCAAGCCCTTTATTATTAAAACTAATGCAAGTAAGTGGGCTATTAGGGCAGTACTATACTAGCTTAGGGACGATAGGAAACTCCATCCGGTCGCTTTTAACGGTCGCAAGCT